CCCAGAGCATCTTCGGTCCCAAATATCCCCAGAGCATCCTCGGTCCCAAATATACCCAGAGCATCCCCGGTCCCAAATGTCCCCAGAGAATCCTCTGTCCCGACTGTCCCCGCACTGTGACGGTCTCACGGTGCCACCTGCCGGCCCCGCCGCGCCCGGCGCCCTCCGCCACTGTCCCCGGGAGGGTTGGTGGCCGCTTCCCACGGGGGATCCCGTGCCCCGGGTCCCTTCTCTCACCTTCCCGGCGCCGTCGGCGGGCGCGGGGCCGGGGGCGATGGCCACCAGGCTGGGCCCCGCGTAGGTGCAGGGCAGGCGGGCACGGAAGCGCTGCCGCAGCGTGTTCATGACACTGCACTCGTTGAGGCTGATGAGGGTGGCCAGATCCTCGGCCTGGTCCAGGCTGGGGGGGTTGGTCTGCGGGAAGAGACCCGGAAACCCCTCGAGCTCTGCTGTCGCGGCAGGGCTGTGCCACCTTGGGCACGGCCAGCCCGGGGCAGCGGCTGGAGATGCCATCGTTGTGCCCCGGGCAAGGGGCTCACCCTCTGCACGCTGTCCTCATCCACCTCCGTGACGGTGCCATCCTCGTCCCGGCGCACCCTCACCCTCCCCGCCGGCAGCTCCGGTGTCCCCACGTCCGGCTTCAGCTGCGTGGCTGCAGGAGAGGCTGGTGAGTGTCCCTGGCGTGGGACAGCCGGGGCAGAGCCGGGGGGCCAAGCCCAGCGGGGACAGCAGCCGGAGCTCTGTGCCCCCGGCACGTCTCAGCCGGGGCAGGGCAGGGAGAGTTACCCAGCGTGAACCCATCCGGCTGGACCAGCCACACCTTCTCTGCCTCGTACCAAACGTCCCCCGGAGCCTGGCGGGAGCAGAGAGGGCAATTGGGCAGCAGCGGGAGGAAAGCTGAGCTGAACAAACCGCCTTTGCCCCGCGGAAAAGGATATTTCCACACTCCTGCCCATCCAAACCTGGGGTCGCCTTCCCCCAGCACAGCCCACGGGAACAGGAGGAGCTGCATGAAACCACAAAACTGCACCAGTGCCCCAAAACCCGGCTAACACCCAACACATTACCTGCTCCTTGTCCGTGCTCTCTTTATCCTGGTCCTTTTCCATGCTCTTGCTCATCCCCTTGCTCCTTCCCGATGTTTCTTCAGCCTGGTCCTTGTCCGTGCTCTTGCCAATCCCTTTGCTCTCTTTCAGCATCTCTTTACCCTTTCCCAGCTCTTCCTTCACCTTCCCCACCTCTTTTCCCACATCTGTGGACTTCTCTTGGATTCCTCCCGGCTCTGCCTTGAGACCCTCCGACTTGTTTGTGGTTTTTTCAGGCGTTTTGATCTCCCTTGGCTCCTTCTTGCCACCTCCAACATCTTTCTTCATCTTCTCTGGCTCTTTCCTGGCTGACAGCAGCTCCCTCTGGGCTTTCACCTTGGCTGGGGGCTCCTCGTGCCTCAGGGGTGTCCCCTTCTCCTTGGTGCTCTCAGAGACTGTCCCTTTCTCCTTCTTGGTGCTCTCAGGGACTGTCCCCTTCCCCTTGGTGCTCTCAGGGACTGTCCCCTTGGATGTGTCCCCTTCCTTCCCTGGGATTTTGCTGCTGCGCTGGGGGCCCTGGCTGGGTGCAGGGGCTGGAGCTGGGGGGCTGCTCCCCAAGAAGGAATCCTTGGGGCTCTTCCTGGGCCACAATGGCTTTCCCACCTTGGGAGCTCCGGGGTGAGGGGTCTCTGCTGGTTTGGGGGTGTTCTCTGCTGGTTTGTGGGGTGTTTCTGCTGGTTTTGAGGATGTCTCCACTGGTTTGCGGGGAATCTCTGCTCTTTTTGGGGGTGTCTCTGCCAATCTGGGGGCAGGTGCTGTTGTTTTGGGGGATATTTCTGCTTTTTTGAGGGGTGTCTCTGCTGGTTTGGGGGCAGGTGCTGCTGCACCAGGTGCAGGGGCCGGGGTTTTGCTGGGGACAGTCCCCAGCACAGGGGGCAGCTCCTTGTGTGGGGGGGCTGTGACCTCCTTGTCCCCCTGCCCCTCTGCCTTCAGCCCGTTCCTCAGTGTCCCCTCGCTGGCCCTCCCTCCTCGGGCAGCGGGGCCGTCCCCGGCTCGGGCCTCACCGGGCTGCAAGCAAAGGAGAGGAGCCTGCTGTGACACCCGGGGACACCTGGGGACACCCCCAGCTCCCCGGTGTGAGGTCCCTCAGTGCTCACCTCCTCCTTGGTGCCCACCCTGCTCTCCTTCCTGCGCCGCGCCGCCTTGGCCTCCTGCTCGGTCTCCCGCACCAGCTGCTTGATGAACCCCCCGGGGATGACCGACAGGAGCAGGGGGGGGGCAGACGGGGGTGGCCCCCGGTCCTCGTCACGAATCTGGGGTTGGGAGAGCAGAGGTGGGTCACAGGGCAGGCACGGGGACAGGAGCCAGCACTGTTAGTGACAGCAGGGCACCCTGCTCAGGCTGGGGCACTGCCCATCCTCCTGCTGGGCACCAGGCTGGGTCGGGGATGCTGTGGGAGCAGAAGCACCGAGAAGAAAAGCCCAGAGAGAAGCGCCCAGATCCCCCGAGGGCTGGCACGGCAGGAGCCCACGTGCACTCCTCTGTGCCAGCAGCCCTGGCGTGGCAACCAGAGGAACCATCCTGGCTGCAACCAGGCAAGAAGCAGCTCCAGCATCACCGCAGCCACATGCAGCCCTGCAGGTCCCAGGGCAAAACCAGCCCCACTTCCCACAGCTTTTCCAGCAGCAGCGCCAGCATCAAACCCTGCCTGCCAGGCTCAGCAGGCAGGTGAAAACCACTCAAACCAGAACACTCAGGCTGAACGGAGCCCGGAGCCAGGAGGCCGGACAGAGCACGAGGAAGTGCACAGGGAGCCGGGGGGATGCTGCAGTGACACCCCAGCACTGAGCTCCCAGGCAGGAAGAGCACCCAGCCCAAAAGCACCGGCAGTGCCAGCCGGGACCGAGACTTTCCTTCTGCTCCCAGAGCGCCAGGCGCGAGGAGATGGCCATGGTGGCGGCGAGGCCGGACGGTGCTGTGCAGAGACACGCGGGGACACACGGGCAGAGAGAGAGGAGACAGTTAGCCAGGGGCTGCTGCCGGCCCCAGGGCTGTGCCAGGCCGGGAGCACCCTGAGCTCGCCAGGCATTGCCCACCTGGGCTCGCAGCACCAGCCGGAGCGCGGCAGGGCACGGGTGGCAGTGACCAGGGCAGCGTGGGGAGGTGCGGCACAGAGGGTTGGTGGCACGGGGGTGATGCTGAGACCCCTCGGCCCGGGCTGGGTGGCCGCAGGAGCCCATCCGTGCCCCACTTGGGGCTGACCGCGGCTTCACCTGTTGGCATCATTCATGCACCGAGCGCGTCGGGGCTCGCCGGGCGCTGCTGTGCCTCCCCGGCAGCCGCATCTCCTTGTACAGTAAAGGGCAGGAGCGGCCGGGAGCGGGCTGGGAATGTCACTTGCCTTCCCGGGCGGCTGCCCCGAGCGCCACGTGCCTCGGGGACCGGCTGTCCCCCCAGCCAGGACTGGCCCCGATGGCACCGCAGAACCCGGAGCGGGCGAGCGACGGGGCATTGTCACCCCCGGCCGGACAGGGACCGTCCTCGGGGAAACTGAGGCGCGGAGAGGACGTGCCTTGACCAAGCACCCAGGGTGCCACCAGCACCGCGCTGCCCCCGCTCAGGACACAGCCCCGGGCGGGCCGAGGGCGTTTGGATCTGGTCCTTACTTGGGCACCCGTGCTGCCACCCTGGTGCGAGGCCATCGAGGGGTCCCCAGCCACAGGGCGGGGCGCAGCGTCCCCGTCCCCATGCCCGCTCCCATCGCTGCTCCCTCCGCGGCTGCAAGCCGCCCCCGGAGCCGGGGCTGCCGCTGTCGCCATCCATTCCCAACTTAAAAATACCCCTCCCGGCCCGGGGGCACCCGCAGACCCCGCTGCCCACCCCGGGGGTACCTGGTGGGGGCGGTGGGTGCCGGTGTCCCACACCAGCACCGGGATCCCGGCGAGCCGAGAGCGGCGGCGGCAGCGCGGGGAGCGCCGAGCGGGGCGGCAGCGCCGGCCCCCGCCCCCGCCGCGGTGGCAGCTGAGGTGACACATGTCACTGCTAAAAATACCCCGGCCGTGGCACCGGGGCCTCGCTGGGGAGAGGCACCGCGGGGCCCTCCTGCTCCTCGGTTCCACACCGGCTGGCACACGCGTGCCACCCGCGCCCTCCTTGGCGCTCGCCTCCTGCACCCCAAAGAAATGGGGGAACTGCTCCGCTTGGGTGTGAGCCCCCCCAGAGCACTCTGGTGGTGCCCGAGGGGGACACCCTGGGCTGGGGGCTCAGCACCGGGGTCCCCAAAGCACCCCGGCTCCCCCCACCAGCCCCAGCCCTGAGATGGGGCTGAGCTGGAGGAGGAGAGCTCAAAATAGCCCCTGGCACCGACGGCAGCATGGTCAGCACCCGGCCAGGGCAGGAGGCAGGGGAGCAGCACAGGGGACACGTGGTGACCACATGGGGACAAGGGTGACACCCCGGGGCACAGCAGGACCTGTGTCCCACATGGCCCAGCACCCAACAGCCAGTCAGGGTGCATGTCACCTGCTCGGGACAAGTGCAGCTGCACAGGGGCAATGTCCCCACCTCGGCCACGCTGACCCAAAAGTTCCACGGGCTCACCCAAGGCTCTGGTAGTAAGAAAGGAAACAGGATTGTCAGTCTGGAGTCCCCCACAGCAAGAGACCAAGCGTTGGCTGAGCATCCCACCAAGCCCAATCCCACCTGGGAACAGCATGAGGACACGAGGTTTCCATCATCCTTCCCTGGTGGCACTGCAGCCATGGGGCCACTGCTGGTGGGAAGCCACCCTTGGTCACCTACCACACCACGTCTCTCCTGCAGGACACAGACGGCGTGTCCCTCAGAAAAACCAGGACAAACACCATGGGGAGAGGGCAGGGACTTAGCTGGGCATGGGGCAGTGGGGTCCATGCAGTGCATCCCAGTACAGCCTGACGGGAAGGGACAGTGCCACGGAAAGAACGAGACGCCGGCACACACGCAAAGGACGGTTTTTATTGGGGTCTGGTCGTAGGAGAGCAGTTGTACTGACCAACACACAGAAGCAGCTTAGCTGTGCCAAAATAATCCCTTAAAAAAATACTGGCGGCAAGAACCGAGTGTGGCACACCCGCCACCACGGGGCTGTAAACTCCGGGACAGTCCGTGAGGAGCGAGGCCACAGCTCACAGGCACCGGGACCCCCCTCCCCACAATAAATATGGAAAGAGCCAAGTACATAAAACAAGGAATGATCTCATCGATACAATATCTAAAGTTATTTACAGATCCTGGCTTTGCTTACCATTAATTACACATTTTGGACAGGTTCTCTTTCGATCGTTTCCTTCATGGCGAGTAGCTGTTCGTGTGAATCTGCTCCTTTTTGCTTTAAAGGACCTAGTGAGGCACTAGAAGCGCTCACAAATCCCCTCTCCGAGGATGCTCCTGCTTTATTCTGTTTTTCACACACGTTTTTTTTTGTGCCATCTCACCCACTGCCTGCTCTCTCCCTTTCCCTGAGGAGAAGATGCCTGCTACCAACAGGAAAGCCTCTTCCCAGCCCATCTCCTTTTCCAGCCTGGAAACACAGCGTGTCACACAAAACCCAGACCAACCTGGCCCTGGACAAAGCCACCTTCCTGCAGCTGTCCCCAGGTTCTCTGCCAAATCCCTGCCTGGACACCCCAGGCCAGCTGCCCTGGTCTCAGCACTGTCCCCACCACGGCACTTTTCCAGGGGTCACTAGGGAGTCACAATGCCACCAGCACAGTGTCACCCACTGCCAGCTCCCCCCTCCCTCCAGGCACAGCTTGGACTACAGCTCATCCCAAAATCCAGTGGGATCAGAGCAGGAAATGGGAAAGAAGGCAGAGATTGCTCTAAGGAGCACAGCAGGGATCCCTCCCTGCCCCAGGCAGCTCCTCAGCAAGGAGAGAATTCCAGCACAGTGTGGCAATGGAAAATACCACATTTCACCCAGCAGTGCCACGGGGATCAGCCCTGACCAGCACAGACCCCCAGCACCATGAGAGCACACAATCTCACACCTCGAGTACTCCTCAAACTGCACAGCCCATGCTCACAACTGGAATTATTTTTAGGAACTGAGAGACCTGATAAATTTAGGGCTATTTCTGTACCTCACTGAGGACAGAGGCACTGGGGTTGGCTCTGCAGATGTGCCCAGATGTGCCCAGCAGAGGCAGCTCCTGGTCCTGCCGGGGTGTCACCTGGGTGTCACCTGGGTGTCACCGTCCCCACACCCCAGGGACGGTCCCTGCAGGGTCCCTGGTGGCCTCTCCTCCCCTGGGATGTGACACCAAGCAGGGTCCTGCCCTGGCTCTAGGACAGGCACTGCTCCTGCCTCAGGATCCTGTTCTGAGGGATCAGGGGATGCCCTGAAACACCAAACCCATCTCCAGTGGGGACATTTTGGGTCCTGCAGCCCAGCCCCGTGTCCAGACTCTCCTTCCACTCACTCCTTCCCAGAGCTCTGCAATTCCCTGATGGCTGAGCTGGATCAAACCCCACGCTGACTCCTTGGCCCACTTTAGGTCATTAATTCTCTTTAACTCAGCACAGACTCCTGTGAATAAACACTTATTCTGGGAATTCTGAGGGATAAAGGAGAAATTTGGAAATATCCCATGGAGGGGTGGATTTGCAGGAGTTTTCCAGGTGATTCTGCATTCAGGAGCAGAGAGCCTGGAGTACCTGTGCAGGGAGTGAAGGGCTGCACAGGCTCAGGGAATCTATCCCTACTTCGTCATGAAAAACAGAATAAAGCTGGCTGATCCTGCTTGAAAGGAGCTGCCACTTCCATACATATACGGAGCAGAAATTCTGTGGAATGTCAGAAGTTGGAGAAACATGTATTTAATAAATAATATAAAATGCTTTTTCTGTTAAAATAGAATTCTCGGGTTTATACCTACAGAGCATAGCAACCTTTACATAAACAAAATAAAGCTGAGTCTGTGATGATTAGTTTAACACAAAATAAAAATACAATTTAACAATAGAATTAAAACAGCCGATGTTCCATCCACACAATATGTACACCATAGAATAGAAACCAACAGAAAACAAAAGTAGATTATCTTGAAACTCCTCAGACATTTGGATATACATATTTTCTCTGTATATTTTAGATATTTTCCTTTTTTTTTTTTTTACAATATTAAAATTAATACTATGCTTTGTCAAAATACACTTTTCAGAATTTTTTTTTCCTTTCATTTATAGAACTGACTCATTCCTTATATTAATCAACACGACTAGAATTATTTATTGTCTACTGTACACTTCAAAGAGTCCTTCCTCTGGGGATATTTTGGGTGCAAACACCTCTGAGGCAGAGGAGCCACGTCAGTGCCACGTGCTGGGCGGTGACACCGCTGTGCCAAGGGCTGCAGGACACGGATATGGACACGGGATCAAGGAACCTGGTCCTAAAGCTGACCAGCTGCCAGGGAAAGAGCAACTCAGAGCTCCAGGGATTTCACTCCTCACGAGCTGATTCCCTGTGACCCAAGGGATGACGATGCCAGGGCTGGTCCTGCTCAGGGAACATCAACCCCCAGAGCTCCTCTGGGCACCAGTGGCCACTATGGGCAGGATCACAACCAAAACCAGCCTTTTTTAGCACAAACCAGTGTTTCCACCACCTCCACGTTGGGCTGCAAACATCTGATTTATCTCAAAGCCAAACCCGACCTCACAATTCCATTTTTAGGTTTTGCCCCCCTTGAGGGAAGTGGGAGAGGAAAATCTTCCACTGGGTTTCTAAAGGGGAGGTGTTGAATCACAGAATATCCTGAGCTGGAAGGGACCCAAAAGGATCACCAGGGTCCAACTCCTGTCTCTGCTCAGGGCAGCCCCAAGAAATTGAGGAAAACTCGAATGTGACTAAGCCGAGCTCTGTCCCCAAAGCTGCTCTCTCCCTACCTGCCAGGCTTCCCTTCCAGACACACTTCCAGCTATTATTAGCCTGCTCCAAGAGTTTTTGAAGCCTGCTGGGGGGTGGGGGAACATACCAGGAATGTCAATCCCAGCTGGATGCACTCCAGCATTACTCCAGCTTCTCTCACAGCAGCACTTTGGGAAGGACCCGTGAGCCTGCAGCCTGCTGGCTCTGCTGGACCAGGGACAAGAACACAAAAAGCTCAGACACAACAAAGAGGAAGAAGATTTACGCTTGGAGAAGTGGATGGCCAACACTTGGATGAAGGATTGGAAAAAAAACCAAAACAAACAAACAAAAAAAAACCACAAAAAACACCCCACAGTAAACGCTCCTTTAACGGTTTCATGAATTTGCAAAATAATTAGCAAATAAACAAGGGATCCTAATCACACAGCCAAAAACCTTCCTGCAAATTAACACTACCAGGAATCTTTGTCCAATACAAAAACTTCAGAGACTCTGGTTCCTAAACCAAGAAGGAACAGACTGGGGCAGTATCTAGGACTTTTTGGTTTGGAGAGTGCAATTCCAGCTCTCCCTCCACACATCCAGTCACTTTTCCACACAGAGCCCCATTTATTACAGGGAACCCACCTTCATTCAGGAGTTTGTCACTGTGATAACCTCTCCTCTCCTAGCTGCACAGTTAGATACAAGTCACAAAAATAAAGCTATTTTCAATTGTCAATAAATCACAGCTGGCTGAAGAAATCCAAATCTTTTCCTGCCCCTCCCACTGGAGGTTGGATGGGGCACCATAATGAGGATATTCCAGGGCCACTCTAAATCCTTCACATTTCAAAATAAATTTATTTCCCTAAGACAATATACAGCCTTCATTTCATATAAAATCTCTGGGTTTGAGGCACAATTTCCCAGCTGATGACCTGCTCCTCCCTCACTGACATCGGCACCGCAATCTGCTGACACGGAGTGAGAGTGAAATCCAGCCATGGAAAATAACTGAAGGAGAAGAATGGGACTGAGCAGGGACTCAGAAAGTAAAAACAAGTTACACAAGAACTGTGAGAAGGTTTTAACACAATCCAAGGGCTTTTTTCTAAATCAAGGAGAAAAACACGAGCATTGCATGGTATTGTAGGGAAAGCTGAACCACCACCAGCGGGATGAGACATTTTTATCCCGAACACATTATAAATACCACACAAAGAATCATGGAATTATTTTAGGTCAGAAAAGACCTCCAAGATCATCAAGTCCAACCTCTGACCAACCACCTCTGACACTGCTCCTTACAGAGGAGCTGAGATGCTCTGAGGAATAACAGAGAGGCTGGTGCTGTTTACACAGAATAATTGGGAAAATAAATAGGGGTGGAGGGGGGGGGAAATCATGGAAAGAAACCACTTTCTCAGGGGTATTTTCCAGAATGCATTTTCCCTTTGGTGCAGCCCCAGGTGGTCAGCCAGGGTTTGTACAAGCTGTGCAGCAAACCCAGCTCCCATGCAGAAGCAAACAGAGCCACTTTTACTACTTTTCTCCAAGGAACTCTGACAGCCACACACGCTCGACAAACCACGCACGATTTCTACTCCCACTTACACAGGCACAGCTCCACTATCTTCAGGGACTGTGAGAGTTGTACCTCTGTAGCTGGGAAGAAAAATCTTCTCTAAGCCGTTCACTGAATTGGGAAAACAGCTGAAGTTCAGCCCTGACCTCTCTCTTACAAACCACCACAACACCCAGGGCAAGGCCCAGCTTGAAGCTGTGGGACAGCTCAGGATGAGATCTTTCCTTCAAGCAAGGCTTTCCACCCAGCACACTTGATGCCTCAGGTAGAATTAACAGAAACCATTTGATCAGCTCATTCTGTCAGCTCCACGCTCAGTTTTATCACACTGCCTTCACTGTGGGCAGTTTGAACTCTTCAGAACAGAAAATGAGAGATCCTTTCCCAAGCCAAGCTGTGATATGTGCATGAACCTCCTGGGCCTGGCTCCAGGGGGAACTGGGGATTTTTGGGGATTTCTATGCTACGGGAACACACCTGTGTACAGCAGAGGAGGATCCCGAGTCCCAGGGCTGAGGAGTGATCTGGGATACGTACCGAGGTACCCACACACACCAGAACCCAGCACATGCTCTACAATGCACTGGATTTGAATAATTTCTTTTTAATTTTTTTTTTAAAAAGTGCAGTTGACCTGAAATGGAAAAGAACTGTCTTTTATGTTCACTGTAAACTTGTCAAAAGGAATCTGCTCTTTAAAAACTGTGCTAAAATAGTCGATTTATACAACAGAGCACTAGATGAAGCTACCATAAATTCCTCTTCACCAATTATTACTCTATTGTGTCAGTTATAGTACTGCATATACGTAGAAGAAGCAAAACGGTGGTAGCTACTATTAGTGAGTACAACAAACCCAGGGAATAATTCGAGTTCAACGCTCCCATGAAGTAGCAATAACACTTAAACCACAGGACAGTTAAGAATTCAGTACTTTGAAGTGCATCAGAGTCACACTGTTGATCATCAGCAGTATGGAGCAAGGTTATCAGAGAGTCAGCAGTAATGGTCGGGAAGGACACGGCAACACGACAGAGCGAGGGGCAGGCACCCACCACGGCCGGGCGGCAGCTCCGGCTCCCTCGGTGTCACCGCGGGAGTGTCACCCAGCCAGCAGCACCCGCGCCACCCCCGCGGCGGGGACACAAAGCCTCTTCCTTCCATCAGTAGTTCCAGAGGGACGGAGCTCAGCCGGGCCCCGCCGGGGTTGGGGACGCGTGGGACAAGGAGCAGCCTCTCCGCCCGGTGACCCGCTTGGGGCAGGGTCCCCCCGCCGCCGGAGACAGAGTCCTGACGTGGCCCCACGCTGTAAACATCGAATTCCTCCTCCCGCCAGCGCATCCCGCCTCCAGGGCTGCACAAAGTCATTCGTTCACAAGGATTCGGGACACTCTGCAGGTTCACCAAGCAGCTCTCCCCGTGGGAACGTGGTCGGTGTCTCCTACAGCCCGTTGCTGTTCCTGTGGCTGAGCGGGGGCTTCGAGAGCTCTACGACTGTGGAGCGGGATTTATTGAGGAACTTCGGAGCCCGGCGCAGCAACCTCTGCGCCTCGGTGAAAGCCTCTGTCAGCTCTTTCTTCCACTGAACAAACTCGGGGTCGCTCTGCAAGAGACACAGAAGCAGTTTGGCACTTCGTGCTACGTGGCCAACAGCGTCTTCTCTCTCAGACAGCACTTTAGGGAAGATATTTTAATTTTCTGAAGGAATGAGCAAATTTGGCTGTAGCCCATGTGCAGCCCTTAGCTTCTCCATCACCCCAACGGAAGCTGGTACAAGGTTTTGACAACTTGAACACTTCCCCTTCCACAGCGAGCTCCAGCAGCTCCCCACAGTGAGACATGAGCCAACAGAACCCTTGGAGCTTGAGAAGTTTGGGAGTTTTTAGCTGTTTAATAAACCCAACTCGTTTTGTCCCAAATACCGCTGAAATCCAGAACAGCCTGCAGGTTTCCTGCTTTCAAAACTCGAGTGTGATAAACACTTCAGCTCTGCTTCACCAAGTGCCTTAGTTAACGTGCAACAGGATGAGCAGAAAAACTTGTTTGTCATATGCAAAACAATCTGATCAAGTTATCGAAAATCAAGGCTTACCTCACACTGTAGGACAAACTGTTTTCCTCCTTTAATTCTCAGTAAGATGCATTTCTTATCTTTAATTTGTGTTTCTTCAACAGATACTATTTGTTCCATTGTCAGCAGGTTTTGCTGCAGCAGTTGCAAAAGAGCAGAGAATTAATTGAAAAGAATACTGTTGCCCATCAAATAAAGCCACTATCTCATTTTCCTGGACTATCCACATGAATTAAATAATGAACATGAAGAGTCATCACACAAACATTTATTTCTGAAGGCTGGGTCATGAACTAAAGATAGACAGTAAGGTAAGAGAGAGATTTACAAGGGGCTTGGTTGCTTCAATAGTGACAACAAAATATCAGCTCTAAAAGCCAGTAATGACAGCATGAAATAAGAATCTACAAATAGGTGTGTCTGCAAACAGAATATTCACTATTTTCCCTCAAGAGTTGCATATAATTTGATACATTTTTCAAGCATTACTGTTATATGCCAAAAAAAAAAGGCAATTTTACTACTTCAAAGAGCTGAAAGGGAATATTTCAGCTCTCAGTACTTACAAAGAGAACATACACAGCAGTGTGCAGGAAACTCTCCCTATGGACTGCAGAGTACACAATGTCTTAAATTCCAAACGCTTCCTTAATTTAAATATACAAATTATCTGCCCTGCACATCAGCACAGCTGGGCTACACTACAGCCACTATAGCATTTTCTTGGAAATAAAATGCTATAGCATTTGTCACCTTACCAGTTTGTGTTTTTTTGTATAAATAGTCCAGAGGTCCTAAATGAAAAACAACACCATCAACTACCAAAATCCTTTAAAAACACAACAAAACAAACAGGTTTCTCAAGTCAACTTTACGTCTCCTCTGTGCAGCGTAAGCTATGCATTAACTACAGTGAGACAGAAGATGCTCAAATGGGCTTTTTACTCGGAGAAAAGTCGTTCCCCAGGAGAACTGCTGGGCACTCCAGGTGTGTCCCACCTCCACCTGCCTTCCAGCACAGCTCGGGGCCCCTCACTCACCCGGGACTCTCCTTCTCCTCGCCACTCCAGCCGGTTGGGGAAGAGGTAAAAGTAACGCCGCTGCCACTGAGTCAGGAAGGGGTTCCCCAGCTTCAGCATGTAGCCATGCATGATACAGTCCTTGCCCAGGGCATAATCTAAACCAAGAGGAGATGTTAGCAAAGCACCAGGAGGAGCAGCTGAAAGCATTCTGAGCCAGCTCCGTGCCCAGGGGACGGAGCCCTGGAGCTGCCCTGCTCAGCAGGTTCAGATCTCACACGCACAGCCCCAGCTCTGCCCTAACTACACAGGGCAGGGAACAAGGACAGCACTCGGCTCTGAAAGAAGGATCTTGCTGGAGGAAGTGTTAAAAGCACTGAGTGCTGCCCTCCAGAGTTTGGGGGTTTGATGTAATGCCCCAGTGCAAGCTGCAGTTTGCTGTGCAAAACCTCCTGGGAAAATCAAACCCCACAGACTGGGCAGCTGGGGAGGCCCTGGCACAGGGTGCCCAGAGAAGCTGGGGCTGCCCCACCCCTGGAAGTGTCCCAGGCCAGGCTGGATGAGATTTGGAGCAACCTGGGATAGTAGAAGGTGTCCCCATGGCAGTGGGGTGGAACTGGATGGGCTTTAAGATCCTTTGCAACCAAACCATTCCAGGAGTCTGTGGTTCCATGAATCTCTTTCCAAAGCCTGATGTCATCATTCAGCATTTCAAAACATTTAGAAACATCTTAAGCAACACGACAGCGATTAAACAAATCCTAACAATTCCTGGGAATGACAGCAATAGGAGAACTCCAAACCCAGGAATTACTACCTAGCAGCAAAAGATGAGAGAAGTGTAAGGACAGATTACCTTCCTCGTGGCCAAGCTGCTTATTTTTAGCCCTTTTTCTGGCCTCAATTTTATCTGTGTCTGCATTTACTGCATCATAAACAGTTTCTGCTACTTCTTGCTGCCAACGCTCCGATATTACCAGAGGGAAGTTCTTATATAACTCCTGGTCACTATCAAGCAACTTGCAAGAGAAAAACAACAAAAAACCCAACATTTTAATAACTTTCACTACTCTTATCCCCAACAGTTAATAGTTACCCATGCAACAGTATTATTTTACACGATGGATTGAACTCAAACCTTCACAAAACAAACAGATGCAAGCAAGAGAAGCACAGACACTAATTTAAGCAAAGATATTAATTTATGTGCAAAGAACAGGCCACCTGCTCAAAACTTGTTTGGTTTGATAGCTCCAAAATCCTCACTCAAGACTGACCCATAATGCTCTCTAGACATTTAAATAACTACTCCAGTGTAAGCAACAGTATTCTTAACTTTGCTGCACAAAAACTTCCTCAGCCCAAGAACTCCATTGATAAGTGAAGATACTTTTTCCACAGTAATACCTTCCATGCTTCCACATCTTGGCTATATAGTCTTAATAATTAACCCTCAGAATTCATCAGCATGTGCTGCAGATCTCAATTTTACTGGTAGAAGGATCCTTTTCTCCACTAATCCTTTGAGTACTTAAATTGAATTACACTGAAGAAAACTAGGAAAAAAATTCCTTCACCAAAAGGGTTTTCCAGCACTGAAAAGGGCAGGGGTGGAGTGCCCATCCCTGGAGGAGCTTAAAGCTGCAGAAGCAGCTTAATTCTCTTACTGCAGTCAGGCCAGACACTCCTGGAATAGATATTCTCCTCGTTTTCAGAGATCCATGCTGTATCCCAGCAGGAAAATACACACCCAGAAAATCTCTGTGATTGCAGGGACTCCCTGAGGCACCTGAGGAAGAGGGAACAGCCACAAGCATCCCCTGAGGGCTCCCCTCTCATAACCTCAAAGCTCTTCTGGGGGCAGCAGGACTCTCTGGAGGATAAATCCAACCCCAGGGGACAGGGAGGAGAGCAAGGGGTTCAAACTGTGGTGCCCAGGGCAGAGAGGGCTCCTGGCACCTCGCTGGCAGCTGACTCAGGCAGGAATCCTCCTGTGACACCCATGGGGGCTGTGCTGTCCCTCCCTGACTCACCCCCAAGGGTAAATTTATCCCATGGGCAGCCTGAGCTGTGAGATTGTGAGATCAAACTGGAGATGACACAGCACTGACCTGCTGCAGATTCCCATTCCGTGACAGGAATCGTGTTATCGAGGATCTCTGAGCCCCTCAAGAAATAAAAAACTGCCTGGTTCTTCCTTGCAAAATGTTCCTCTGAATCCTGGCATTGCAGAACTACAGGAGACTGGAATCCTGCCAGGCTAACATTGGTGCTGAAAGATGTGGAATTTTCTGGGATAAAGAACATCCTGGGCTCTCTGCACTTTTCTGTGCCAACTTCTGTCACCACAGCAGGTGACACTGACAGATGAGCTCCCTTTTAGGCTCGGTGAGAATTTAATGGGGCTTTTTCCTTATAAAGTTTAGAACAATTAGTTTCCCTCCTGACTCACTTCTGTAAGAACAAGAACAAGGTCTGTTCTACTGCAGAAACAGGTGATGAAAACACTGAAGGGCACTGACCCAAGCCCTGCTGCCCCAAAGTCCCAGGGAAATTTCAGAGAGTGGAGGAATTCACAGGGGGTCGCTCTCTTCATGTGAGTCCCAAAGGGGCCAGCAGCTCTAACTTCTCTCCTTTTTTGTATAATTTATATTATTTTCATTACATTTTGGATAATGTCAGAACCTGAAAATTTCTTTTACGACTTTTCTAACTCATGACATTGCTACTATTAACACAGTTTGTCAATTTTAAGAGTTTTCCCTAGAACTCTCTGACCACTCTACTATTAAAACAAGGTTTAGCTCCATTTCTGCAAGCTACCAGAAATAAATCCCAAATTTTAAACACACAAACCATAAGGTATTGTTGAAAATCTGAGACTTTCTTTCCTGACCATTTGAAACAATTCCTTTATCATATAAAACTTTTGGTAAGAAAGTAGATTTCAGTTAACCTAAAATCTTAAGGAGTTGGCAAGCAACAACAAACAGGGGAACCAGCCCAAGGTACCAGCATGGATTGATTTTCCCAGCCAGAAGGAATTCCTTGCACATCCAGAGCCCTGAAGCAAAGGAATGCCACACACACACAGAAAGCCAAGCAGAGCAGTCCCAGTGCCACCCTCCACCACTGAGAGTTGGGTACCTTAATGCCTTTAGTGTCCTCTTCATCAAACGAGCCAATATCAAAAGCATCTGCTGCATTGACTTCTCCCCGGGGAGGAATCAGGGGAGGAGGGTACTAGAAATGGAAATCAGCATCATTAAAGACAATTTAATGGGCATTATTTAACTCCACTCTGTAGTCATGCACAACCTTTGTATTTTTTGCACACATTACACTTGACTGTGCCAGAGTGTCCCCCTTGGAACTAAACTTCAGTTCAGAATTGTTGGCATTTCTTTTAATTAGAGCTCCTTCAAAAATCTGGGGATAAAACTCCCCAGTTTAGAGACAGCAAAGGAAATGAAACATGCAGTCATTTGAGCCTGGAAATTTAATTATTTACTCATAGCAATCAGGAGGATCTGCAGTAATGAATATTCATCAACAACCCTCCCCTTATTTGTGTGAGTGAGCACTTGTGCTGGGCACAGTGACCCTCAAGTTTTCTGTTCAGTACCTGTTTGGGTTTATTTTCCTTTTACTGCTATACCAAGTCAGTTAAATTACTGCCTTTATCCTTTACCTTCTGTAAATAGACTTGTTGCCAATCAATGCCTTTGAAGAAAGGATGTTCCTTTACTTCTTGTGCGCTGCAAAACAGAAGTGACTGAAGTCAACAAATGAAGGGGCTTTTCAAGTGTATTCAAGGAATACAAAGCCCTCAAAGGTCACATTTCTATCACTTGAGAACATTGGGGAAATGCTGTTTTTCAAAATAAAAGAACTCCTCAGTAAACAACAGGAGAGAAGATTTTCATGTGGAAGCACTTGGCATAGAGCTCTAGGGCTGGCAGGCAAGAAATCCTGATGGCACTCCATCATTTCCAACAGGAAACTATGTTCCTCTGTTGTCAGATCCCAAACACAGATCCAGGTCAGATCCTAAAGACAGATCTGAGTCAGATCTCAAACACTGCTCTGGGTCAGATCCCAAACATGGATCCAGGTCAGATCCCAAACACAGATCCAGGGATCTAGGTCAGATCCCAAACACGGATCCAGGTCAGATCCCAAACACAGATCCAGGTCAGATCCCAAACACTGCTCTGGGTCAGATCCCCATCACTGCTTGTAAATAACCAGATTGCTCTACACTATTTCACATTATACAAATTCCATGGGAAAATAATAAATTATTTTTGTTATCTCCCAGGAAAAAGCAATCTCAGGTCATTGTCAAAGAGGGCTCCAAGACAAAAACTCTTTGAATCTCCCACTGGAACTGGAGTCAGTCCCAGGTTCAGGTGTGACCATCTACCTGTTATCACACATCCCAGTGATTTCTCAATAGTTGTTTACTCCTCTCATTTTCTCTCTCAGTCTCACAGTGGCTTTTTAAGCAGGAGATAACAATTTCATGAACAGCTACAAGCAAGGTGAGCCCGGCAGGAGCAAGGAGTGTTTTGTGGTCAAGAAACAAAACAAAAGCTCTTTTCCTCAGAATAATCAGGTGACACAGGCAGCACCAAGCAATACTCACAGCTTTTGCTTGGTGGTTTGGGATTCTTTTTTGGTTTATTTTTTAGTTTTTGTAATATGGTCCTATCATTACAGATACAATATAAACAATGAATTTTCCCTATCAGTATGTCTGAGTCAAATCATATGATTTCATGCCAAAACAGATCAGGCAAAACCAGAAAAACAACCAAGGGATGAGAAGTAGGAACACCACCCAATGCAAGCATGACTGCAGGGAACTCAGGGAAAGGCTTTAAGGACAGAAATTGCCCAAAAAGCATGTCCAAACCGAAGGAATCTGAAATGTAATTCCATGCAGCAGCACTTTGTAATGTTCTCTTTCCAAAATTAAAATCCTCACAACAGGAAGCAGATTTTTACTTGAAATGAATTCACTCATTGACAGAGAAGTGGAAATTTTTCAAGGCAGAGGTCCAAGGAGAAGACAACACCTACCTTCTTCCTTGGCATCCAAGCCTCTTGCTCACATCCCGCTGCAGGAGCCCTTCCAGAAGGGACTTCAGCTCAGGAGAAAAGGAATCCGGGAGCTCCACGTTCTGTGGGGAAAGGAAAGAGATACTCCATGATGGAAGTGCTGTGTTCTGCTTTCTTGCCTCTGATGGTGTTTGGAAACAGCTCTCCCACGTGCAGATACGGCTCTCTGGGAGAGCAGGGGGTGCAGTTCCAGTTTTAGGGGAGATGGGAGCTCAGGGAACATGGGGATGTCACTGAGGCCAGGCCTTACCACCGTGAGCGTCATCCGGTCGATCTCGTGCTTATCTTTGGTTTTGTGCTGCCTGAAAGGGCTGTGCCTGTGGAAAGAAGAAAAAGAATGCTAATAAATAAATGTAAAGCCTCAGCATGTCAGGGTATTTCAGCTGTGGCAATGCCAGGAAAGAGTGGAGCATCCTGTTAGTCCCATCCTTCCTCCTCATCATTCCTGTCCTGCAGAGCAATCTGATACGCAGGAAGGGGAGGAGAAAATTGGGTAATCATTAAACACTGATCTGGAGTTAAAGATGTGCTTCAAATGCCTCAGAAATTACATCTATCTCCCCAAAACCTGAACAGCTTTCAGCTAACAAGGAAATCCCAAGCAGCCATCAACCACAGGGATTTAAATCCAAGGATTTCTATAGGGAAGGTGAGCACGACCCACTGAACTCACCATTCCCCATCATGGAGAGCAAGGAGATAAGAAATCACAGATCCCACAGCATCAGCCACCGGGAAGATATCTGATAGCATCTTATAAATTATCAGCTTCACCCCTTTCCTGCTTTATAATTCTGGCTTGAATCTGAATTTTCCTCTAAGCTATGGAAGACTGTGACCCATTAGAGATTTATCACACAGTCCTTCATGAAAGAAAGAAGCAGTATTGTAGTAAGAGATATTTTGATTAGATTTAGGATATATTCTCTGATTCTTTTCTTTAAAACCTTGAGGGGATTATGTTTTTCACAATCAAAATGTTACTCACTTTTCAATTCCATTAATTAGCTATTCTAAAGCATTCTGGCTTACCACATGGCAGAGTGTACCAGCATGTTTCAACTGGAGACCTGCTACTCCCAAGTTATTTTCCTTTTACTCTCAAAAATGTTCTGATTGATGAATGCAATGGATGGACCAGGACTTCAATTTTTCTCTATTTAGCATGACAGGTAAATGGTTCCCACACAGCCTCATGTACTCTGACAAGGAGGCTCTGAGTAGATCAGGCAAGAAAATGATTCACTGGCGACTTATGGGCAGATTCTGTGCCAGACTAAATCTACCAAATACCAAGAAATGGCACCATGTGCCCTAGCTCTTGTTTTGGGATGTGTTTAATTGCCTTCACAACAGATGAGGAATGAGAGTTCACCATGAATAATGCTCTGGCTTCTGGCTGAGCACTGATACCACCCTGAACATCTCTGCCAGGTACAATCACAGCCCAAAGACTGGCAATTTAAACACCACTTCTTTCTTTATTTGTACCCTTACATAGTCTGCTTTGTGCACAATTAATGTTAAATTGATACAGCTCTAAAGTTCAGTTCACAAGTCACACACTGACCTTCCTTTGTACAGTGTCTGCACGGAGATAAAAGCTCATAATTAATTACGTGTGAGGACACAGGATGACCTAATGATCAATGTTTACAGAGAAGCACTGTGAAAAGCCTCAGAGTTCTTCTGGTTTGCCATGAACAGTGAGGATGCCATTTTCATCAAGCACTTGCTCGTCAGTGCAAGTACACAGATAAATCCCATGGCATTAATCTATCCTAGACACGTAAGTTTAATGAGGAGATAACTGCTGACAAAGCTGTAATTATCATGTACCTTTGGACACTGATAAAGTAACAGGACAGATTCAGCAAATAGAAGGATCCACACCTTTTACCTGGCCCAAACCCTGCAGGAGGGAAGGCTGAGTAGCACCCAAAAAGGGACCAGTGCAGCCAAGAGCTCCTCCACAACACCAGATCTCAACACAAAGCCCGCAATTTAAAGGGCTGCTGAGAGCACTCCAAGGAGCAACATCTCAGCATCTAAAACACTGCCAGAGAGGAGCAAACTGCTGTCTGCAGCACTTCCAAGAGCAGACAGAGGACCTGCCTTCCTCATGTCCCACACCTGTAGCTACTGCAGGACGCAGGGTTTGGTTTGGAAGAAAAAGCCTGGTTTTGTCACACATGGGGACATGGAATGAGGGATCTCTTCAGAGAATCTGTGACACACAACATCCTGCTATTGCAAGGGACACCCCCAGAGGCTTCCAAAGGTGAAGCAGGAGCCCCACTCACCCCCTCAGCAGCTTGAAGAGCATGCAGCCCAGGGAGAACCAGTCGGCGCTGCTGTCGTAGGCTGTGCCCTTCTGCAGCACCTCGGGGGCCATGTACCCGTGGGTTCCTCTGCAGAGTACAACAGCACAAAACATTCATTACATCCAACATTATTACCACTGGGAGAAAAATCATTAAAAAGCAGTATTCTCTCAGTAACACAGCCCAGTTTGGACAGAATTCATTTTAACCATTTTATTTTGCTTCCAATTGGGTTTTGTGTGTCACCTGTGTGAGCACAGGACACTCCTGAACTCACCCCTGGGCACCATTAGAAGCAGCCCCCAGGTATTACTTTTACCCTTGACATACTCAAAACATGTGGACTTTTTTCAAGAAGCTACTGAATTGCAAATATCTTAAGGTGTGACAGGCTGGAGTTTCCCTTTTCGCATAAATTCTGAGACTAAATCAGGGCAATTGAGGACCTAAGAATGAAATGTGCCAGGTAAGATGTGAATCCACACCCAACTCCAGGAAATTCAGATCCCAGTTAAATCCTGATGGTGAGAGGCAGAATGGAACATAATTTGCCTCCAGTTCCATGAAGATCCAGAAAGAGAAAGACACAATAAATCCAGGATTTTAGTCAGTTTTGGAATATTTAATTACTAGGTTGGGACAATTAAAGCAATCTGGTACTTTAACTCAGTCAGGTTCTTCTCTGAGCAGTGAATCATCCCGAAATAATGTGTCATCTCCCAGCCATGCCTACACATCAGCTGCTACAACTGTGCAGGAAAACAGGGAGAGGAGCCCAAAAAACCTCATTAGAGCCTCCAGCTCAGCAAGCCTGGGCCACACAAGTGTCATTCCTCCCTTTCAGACAAAGTTAAGTTATAAAGACAAATTCAGGATGGATTTAGCAGCACCAGAGCTCCCAGACATAATACTTACACACTGGCATGTGGCTTCTTTTTGGAAAAGTCACAAGCCAGCCCAAGGTCTGATATCCTCACGTGCCCATGTTCATCCAGCAAGATATTTGCAGGCTAGAAACCAAGAGAGGGGGGTGAGTGCTTGGTATTCCCCAGCTGACAACTGCAAACTCTCACAGCACAGCAACTCAAACATCAATACTCCCTGGTAATTGGTAATTGCCTTCATTTATTTAATATCTATATACCAGGCACTTCCTAGATAAAAATCCATGTTCTCACAGAGCACTACCATCAACTCCACAGGTTATGAAATGCTGAATAACAGAAGGGAATAACCAGGCAAGGTTTGAACACAAAGCAGGTAATAAATGAAAAATCCATTCTGGCCTCAAGTTGCTTTTGGTTTCTTCACAGCAGGGTCTGTGTGTGGCTCTTACACCTTTTTTCCTCAGTCTCTGGGCAGACTTTCATCCCCTTGTGCTGTCACTTGGTTCAGGGACTCTTCTCTGGGGCCTGTCCTCAATTTCCCAAGTGTCAGTGAAACCCCCCAGCACCTTTCCTGCTGGTGCCTCCCATCACACACATAAATGCCTCTTTCAGGGCTCCCAGAAATACAGTATATCCTCTAAATTACTCCCATCAGGGAGATAAGTAACACTTCACAGGATTTACTGTGACCCCCAGGAAGCCTCTCCCAGGCTGATTAAACTGGATAATGGCACAGATTAGGACGACTTTGAAAACTCATTACAAAAACCAGGCAGATAAAGAAATAATCCTGCCAAGGAAAGGTTTTAGGAAAGGAAATCCATGGCAGTTATCTGAGGGCCTGTGTGGATGCAGGCACCCACCAACCATTACCTTCAGGTCTCTGTACACCACGAAGCGATTGTGCATGTGCTCTAACCCCAGGATGATTTCAGTAGCATAAAACCTCATCTCTTTTTCAGAAAACACTCCATGCTGGGAGAGGTGGTAGTGCAAATCTCCTCCTGAAATGAGAATTGAGATGCAATAATGAAGTGAACAGTAAAACCTTACCCTGCAGGCAGACAGGGTGACACTCTGGGGGAACAGCACAGCTTTTGTAGGTTCTTATTACCTGAAGAGCACACAGCCCCACCCTCTGCAAATCTGTGTGGTGACAAAATAGCTGAGAAAGTTCATACAGAGATCTGACCAGTCTGAAACTCCATTTTAAAATGCATTTATTTCATAATCATTTGCATCCAGTGACTAATCCAGCAGAGGATTTCCACATAAGCAAAGGCTGTACCACACATTGGCTTGTGGAGAGCAGAATAAATCAGCTCATAGAGCAGCCAGGCTTGAGGGACCAACCATCTCAGCAAACCTCCTGCCAAAATTTCTGTAACATCATCATCTGAACAAGCCTTGCTTACCATTCATGAGGTCCAGAATGAAGCAGAGCTTGTCAGGGGTGTGGAAGGCATAGGTCATACAGACTATAAAAGGACAGTCCTGCAAGGGAAGAGCAAAGAGGTTCACCTCAGGCAAAAAGCAAAGTGGGACTTAGGGAAGCTAAAAATACATCTGATATTTTTCCTGTGCTATTTGCCAGTATTCCCAAGTTCTCTCCTCACTCCTGAAATGCAGCTTCACTTGGTAACCCCATCCACCCCGTGAGGCCCTGCCCAGCTGACAGTGAAGGTGTTTGGCCCTCCAGCAGCAGTTCCAACAGAGGATTGAAGGAATGTGAGCACACCAGGCAGGAGTTGGGATTCTGGAGCTTTACAATGTTCAGGAAGCAGCTACAGCAACTTCCACATCCTGCAAACTCACAACACAAGGGGGGTGGGAGCAGCTTCAGGAGGTCAGAGCAGAGCAGCCAGGGCAGGGATGGGTTTCACCTCACTTCCTGATGCACCTGAACCTCAGTTCACCCCATGTTTAAGACAAGCAGCCATAAAAAAATTCACTGGAAACCCACATCTTTGTTCCCAAGGGCTGCTCGTGTGCTGGTACCTCCATGGCACACATTAAAAACCCCATGGCAGCAGCTGGCAGACCTTCCTCTGCACCAGGCCTGTGCTGGATATGAGGGCTAATTCATAATTATGGAATTGCTGAGGTTGGAAAACCTCTCTGAGACTGAGGGATTCAGCCAAGGCCACCACTAACCCATGGTCCATGTGCCACATCCACACCTCTGTTAAATCCTTCCTGGGATGTGACTCCACCACTGCCCTGGGCAGCTGTGCCAGGGCTGGAGAATCCTTTCCATGAAGAATGGACCACACTACTGCTGATACAAGCCAGGAGGCCCTTGGCTAATGACCAGAGGGTGGCTGTCACCTCATCAACATCTCCAAAGCCGTATGGGATGGAACCAGGGATGCTCTGGATTGGGAGGGATCTTAAAGCTCATCTTGTCCCAACCCCAAAGCCATATGGGATGGAACCAGGGATGCTTTGGGTTGGGAGGGACCTTAAAGCTCATTTTGTTCCAACCCCCTGCCGTGGGCAGGGACACCTTGCTGGGAGGCTGTGGAACAAAAGCAGGGCTGTTTGGGGGGTCTGCAGTGATCCCTTTGGGAATGGTTGTGCTGCCCCATCCCACACCTGATCCCAAAGGCAGAAGGAGCCCAGGACACCCTGCAGGGAGCAGAGCTTCACGTGACTCCAACAGCGTGCCTGGAGCTGCAGGATGGAGCAGGGAAAGCTCTGGGAATCTCTGACAGGAACTTGCTCCCTTCCCAATTTAGAAACAGCAAAACACGGCGGCCTTGGGCAGCCTGGGGCCACCTCCAGAGAGAGGAAAGGGAGGGACAGGGACACTTCAGAGCCCTTTCATCCTTCCATGAGGTTCAAACATAAAGGTTTCTGTATATTTCTAAATCTTTATAAATTTATAAATCTTCTAAATATTTATAAAGATTTTTATATCTTCGTATCTATTATTTATATATCTTTATATATATAATTTATATTTTGGGGATCCCCCACAGTGCCTGGGTACATCCTGCCCCTCTCCAACCCAACTGCACTTTTATGTTTTGCTCCACCCAAACAGGAGGGATGGGTGTGAAACACCTGCACAACATCCAGAAAAAAAAGCCAAATGGCCCTAAAAATAAGGAGCCTGATGTGGTGTCTAACACAAGATATCACCTCTGGTTATGAACTCTGTGCTGGGGACTATTGTAGCTGCCACTTAACTTCACAACAACAGCTTTAGCAGAATTATTAACTTAATTTCCTGTATCGACTGGGTAATTCAGAACTGTCCCCAAGCAGGGCTCCTAAAATTTCAGAGCAATCTAATTACCCAGAAGGATTTAGTGGTAGAATTTAAACACCACACATAGACAAATAAAAAGGTTTTTCTGCACCAGAACATAGCTTGCTTATATTTTTATGGATTTTAAAAATAGAAGTTATCTGGAAGTGTAAATGTGATGCGTAACTCATTTTTGTGCAAGCATTCTTAATTTTATCACTACCCTCTCCATGCTTAACAGAGAGAAAAACTGTACTGCAGTATTTTCCTGACACAAAAATCACAGCAAGAGTATTATACAGCATAAAAATTAAAAAAAAAAAAACCTCCCTACAGTTATTTTTTTAAACAACACACAAAGCAATAAAACCAATTTCCCAGGAGAGCAATTCTTCATTGCAATCAACTTTCTGCTCTGATGAAAATAAGCAACATTATGACATTAATGTGTGAATTAAGACCAGTTTGGAAAGAGTTCCTTACATGCAAACAATCCTGGATTGAGTCCAAAGAACTGCTGAAGTCAAATTTGTGGCAATAAATCATGTGGAAGGAAAAAAAAAAATAGAGCAACCATAAAAAAAAAAATGGAAATGTGATATTTTAAAGCTATTAGAACGCTAAGAAGTGCTCTAGGAGGAAATCTTTGGTTTTGATTCTTCCCTGAAAGCCAAGCACTTGACTTTGGGGTACAAAGTGACAGCAAACAGGGGACAAAGGTGTTCAGAGCACACAGCAGCTCTGTCCTGACATGTCACCCAAAGATGTGACAGTGCTTGAAACACATGAAAACCAGCCAAGTACCTGTTCTGCTCCGAAAAACCAGATTATTGCTCTCCTGGGGTGTCCTGGGCAGGGCCCTCCAGCTGAGGATATTCTGGGATTATATTTATCATCCCTTGGAGGAAATCTTGAATCCAGCCATCAGTAAAATCAGATCTGGGTAAGGCAGCTGAAGTGCTGAGGTTTTTTTAGAAAGAAAAAACTGGGAGCCACAACAGAGAGGAGCCAAATCCCTGCACAGCCCCTGGTCTTGCAACAGACAGATGGAATGATCCCCTCCTACCCTCAGGAAAAGATTCATGGAATAGCAGCTTTCTTCCACAAGCCCTTTGGGACTGCCTGGTTTCACAGGGTCCATCACTGCCTTGGTGATTTCCACGTTTCAGTTTTTGAACAGAAATCAGGCAAATATTGGCTACTACAGAAATGAAATCTATTCTTCTTTTTAACAGAAAGTAAAATCTTTTCCCTACTCGATGACCTTCCAAGGATTTCACAATGTCTTTCCTGACAGAGGCTCTGTGGGGGGGGGGGAAGATGGGGCCCGTGTCTTGCAGAAGAGGAAACCCAAAGCTCTGTGACAGTTTGTCCCCGTTACACCACGGTGACACAGCAAAGGCACCAAGGGAGACTGAGCCCTGCAGGTCCCAGTTTGGTGCCACCAGGCCCATGCAGGAGGCTCCAGATGCTCTGCAGAGGTGCCTCTTGTACTCCTGAGCCCACTGGAAACGTGGCCATGGAAAGCTGCTGTCACCACGCAGCCACCACCAACTCCAGCATGGGAGCTCCCTGCTCCAGGAGTGCTGGGGAATGCCAGAGCTTGAGGTGGATTAACAGAGCTGATTACACAACCAGCTGTATCATCTGCACAGCTCTTATGATGCATTTTGCAGAGACATCTGGATTCCCAGTTAAATGATTAACTGTACTGTGATGGATTTCCCAGTTCCATTCTGCTTTGGGCAGTGCAGAGCTGTCCCTGGGCACACCATGAGCCACTCCCAGCTTCTGTTGAGGGATTGAAGGAATTCTCTTATTCCATCACCTTCAAACCCATCTCATCCTGCATATTCCAAGTGCTCCAGCCTCTCCTGGCCCAGGTGTACTTGACCTGAATGAGCAGCACTTTGTACAAAACCTCTCTTCAAAGTCCTTCAGATTTCTGGGAATCTGAGAGAAATGTCACTCTAATCAGCTGATAATCATTAACAGAAGAAACAAATGGTTCCTCCTGCTGCTGCTCCTGCTTAAAGCCTCACTGTGATGGCCTGTGAGAAAATTGCCCCCACCACCAGCTTCTGAACTATTTACTCTTGGAATCTCTAGACATTAAAATTTACATTCAGTGGTGGAGCCACAGAATCACAAATTAAAGTTAATGGGACATTTATTACTCATTTGCCTCAATTTCATATCCAGTCCCTACTACAGACCTACTCCCCACTGGTTGTCAGGAATCCTGACACACAAGGACAAGCCACCACTTATCTCTGGTGAAAACAGGTAACTTGATTAAAAAGCCTGAAGGGATAAATCACAGATCCCAGAATGGTTTGGATTGGAAGAGACCTCCAAGTTCATCCAGCTGTACACACCTGCAAGGCAGGGACAGTTTCCACTATCCCAAGTTGCTCCAAGCCCTGTCCAACTTAGCCTTGGGCATTTCCAGGGACCCAGGGGCAGCCACAGCTGCTCTGAGCACTTGTGCCAGGGCCTCAGCAGCCTCATTCCTTCCCAATACCCCATCAAACCTGCTCTCTGGCAGTGGGAAGCCAATCCCCCTTGTCCCAAGCTCCTCTCCAGCTCTCCTGGAGCCCCTTGAGGCACTGGAAGCTCTCCTTTGCTTAGTGGTGGCCATGGCAGTGTGGGGATAACACCTGGATTTGAGGATCTTCAAGGTGTGTCCCACAGAGAAGCTCCCCTGATCTCTGGGGACACAGCCCTGGTGTCTGAGAACAAAGGCCACCGTTTGCCATGCAGGGAATCCTGCTCTTTGCACAGCTCTGCACAAAACCACACACACAAAACCCCTCCTCATCCTCGTGCCTCCCACACTGAGTGCTTAATTCATGTACCACAAGGTGAGGGGAGTGAACCTTCCTGCCAGCATCACCCGGAGCCATGGCAACCACGGTGTCACTGCAAGGGGGGCAGAGCCACCTCTGTGGGACTCTTCAAAATCCGAGGATTTTGGGCAAGCTTCAGAGATAGTAGGATGGTGATTTAGAGCTAAGTAGTAGCTAAAATATTTGTTAGCAGAAAAATTATATAAGTGGAAAGAAAGGACAAAGAGAACAATGGTTTGTGTATTAACACTTAGGTAGGATAACTCCTAAAGTTGTAGAAAAGTGTATCTGGTGAGATATTAAGAAGTTTTAAGTTTAAGAATGGAGTTCTGTGTATTGTATCTTAAGGTTTATAAGCAAGTATTGTATTTAAAATAAGTAAGCATTGTTTTAACTAAAGGTATGTATATTTATAGTGATTAGATGAAACTATTGTCAATATGCTTTTGCTTTGTGTAATTGGTCAAAAAGCTTTTAAAGTAAGTTGTAACATTAAATTCTTAGTCTGCTACTTGAGATGTGAGCTACTAGCATCTTCTCATTGTCATAACCATGTAATGAGACTGATGCTAAAAAATTAACAGCTCAAGACGTGTTCCACAGCAGTCCCATCCCATTCATAATTCATACATAACCCCCAGCCAGCAATAACCTCCAATCCTGCCTGGAATTTCTCTGAGCCCAACACACCCTTGGCCACCACCCAGTGGCCCCCAGGGCTGGGGAGCCAACAGCAGGCAGGTGCTGGCTTTTTGCACACACCAGTGATAGTTTTGACTTTAGATCTTAATTAATCTAATTTTAATCCAATTGATAAATAGAACAGATGGCTTGGTACACCTTGACCCAGCTACAGCACATAGAAAACAAAAAGGGAAAAATTTTATATCAGAGTAACAGGAAAGAGAAGTTTCTGGAGTTTTGACTGCAGTAGCACTTTAGATCCCACCAAAGTACTATCTAACTATGCAAAAAAAACCCCAAAAACCTGAATCTTTTTTACAAGACCAAATCATGTTTTGGAAAAGTTTCAAACAGAAATACTTAAAAAAGGATATTTAAAACATCAGGAGGGTGGGAGGATGAATTACCTCAGAAATGGGCACCCCCTCAAGCCTCTGCAGCAGAGATGTTCATTCTGCAGGACCCAAACTGATCAAGCAAGTTTGGTTTTCCCTTCTCATTTCAGACACATTGCAAGAATCAGGGGGAGGCTCCATGGGGGTTAATTTTTGCATGTCACACAACGGAATTGATGGAATATGCATTATATGTAACAGCTTTTATATTATATGGAAGAAAGAAAGAATAACAAAGTGATACTTACTCCTGTACTGACAAGAGACAGCATAATTCTTTCATTTAAGGCTAATGTTTCTCCTTGCTTCATCTTAATTCTCTTCTTATCTAAACATTTCATTGCATACCTGCAAAATTAAAAATAACCATTCAGAAAAAGCACCAAAAATCTCCTCTGTCAGGACTATTCACTGGCAGTCAGGCCATGCACATTTACAGGATCCTTTAAGCAAGCTCTTGAAAGACTTAAACCCAGGACTAAAAATATAATTTCAGGCTAAACCTCCAAAATCTCCCAGAATTAACACATTTCCAGCAGAAGCCTCCTGACAGAGAAATGTGCTTTAACAAATAATTCCATGTCCAAACCATCACAGTGAAATAGGAATTACACAACATAGATTCATTTTCTCATACCTACAAGCAAGGCTCTGCCTTAGGAATTAAATAACAGAAACTCTGTTATGGTACCATTTAATTCCAACAATTTCAACCCTACCAGGAAAGCAATATCTTGAACACACGCTGAGTTTTATATTTTTTTTTTCCCCTCTAATTTTCTTTCTACTCAGAAAAAGTCAGATACACACAAGAAAGCTTTTTTAGTCTTCTACCATCTGTGCTACACAAATTAATAAAATTTTGCTCACAAAGGATGTTACCCTAACAACCACCAACCACAGGAGGATACGATCCAGGCTGGGTATTTTTCCAAGATGTTGGGTGAGTTCATTAATAGACATCGGTGAGAAGGACACGTGTGTTCCTCCACACCAGACTCCCAGACATGGGTGCTCATGGATTTTTAGGAACTCCCCACATTACAGCAGTGCTTCAATGCTCATCTCCATCCAGCCCCAGATTGTCACCTTGGCTCCAGCTCCCAAAAACAGCCACGTCATTCTGACATCAATGTGTTGGGAGCGGGGGAGTGAGGTTTGCATTTTAAGTTTCCAGACTGGGAATATATTCACGTGTTACTGCTGAGGAGTCTGTGAAGGGTGAGTAAAAATAACCCCTGACCCTGCCCTGATCAGAGAGAGGCACTGGGGATGTTCAAGGCTGATGGAAACCACAGAATGGTTTGGGGTGGGAAGAGACCTTAAATTCATGGGCATAAATTCCACTATCCCAGGCTGCTCCAAGCCCCATCCAACCTGGCCTGGGACACTTCCAGGGTTGCTTGGACAGCTGCCCTGGGAACCTGTCCCAAATCAAGCCTGTCACTGTGCTGCTGTCCCTCTCCCTGCAGTGCTGCATCCTGTCTGTGGCCCCTCTCTAGAGCTCCTTGCAGGTGTGGGGGTGCTCAGTGGCCACTGCTGGTGGTCCCTGGCAGGGAGGGGAGCCCTCCCAAACTCCCTGCTGTGGCAAGCACATTTCTCTCACTCTCAGGATTTTTCACAGAGAGAAATGAAAGAGAAAACAATTTCTATTTCTGCTCCTTGTTTTCCCATGTGGAATGTGTTTGGAGAATTGTTTACCTGAGGTGAGTGCTTGGTTGGATTCGAATGAGGATTGTTTAAGCTGATGGCCAATCCAACCCACCTGGGGCTGGACTATAGGGAGAGGGTCACGAGTTGTGATAGAGAAAGTAGTATGTAGTTTTAGTATCTTCCTTTTTATATAGTATATGAATGTATTTTAGCATAGTTATAATAAAGAAATCATTCAGCCTTTTAATTGAGTCAGACATCATAATTTTTTCCCATTGGGTTGGTCTGCATTTACAACACCCTGCAGCCTCAGCATCTAGAGGGGATGGGAGCTGGGTTAGGGATGAGCACACAGCTTTGGATCAAGAAAGAACTAAACCAAACCTCTACCCAGAAGCTGAACCTTAAGTTTTGCTTCAAATTTGAAAAAGAAGGTTGGTTTTGCCACGTTTTGCTTCCCTTTGTCCTATTTGTATCTACTAAAACCTGTCCTTTGCTTCACTTTTCCTGTCCTTCTCACTTCCCAAGGGTTTATCCACCTCCTGCCAGAGCCCTACTCAGACACGGAGATGGCTGGGACTCTGAGAACTGCCTGCTGTTTATTTTTGTATGTGGACAAATGAATGAACTGTACATGGACAAAAAGTACCAAAGCAAGAATAAAGCCAGCATTGTTAGTAAGCGTATTAATACAAATACTTGAAGTCACTGCAAAAATACTGAATATAATAATATCAACATTAAGATGTCTTCCACTTGTTAAGAGTCAGAAGTTTATTATCATCAAGGATGTCAGGCACACATAAATGCCACAGGAGCCAGACACAGGGCACTTCACACATGAAAGGGAAATGTTTAAGGATGGGCTGTGGACTAAAATTGTTAGGAGAAAAGCAAGATGAAAGGCTGGGGTGCAAATAAAAAAACTGATTGATATTGAGAACAACTGGTTATCCATGCCCAGATGTTCACAACAGAACACAATGGGACAATGATGCCTAGAAATAGAAATCTGATGATTGGGGAGGTGTTTGAATGATAAGATCACAAGAAGAATAAAAACTACCCAGAACTGACCCTGGAGCTCCCACAGAGAGCTCTGGGAAGCACAGTCCAGCAGTGCAAAAGGCAGCAGGGATCACTGCTTTCACCACACATGGGGCAGGCACTGATGCAAATCCCCAAACTGGGAGCAGCACACTGGGAGCGGGTTCTGGCACAGCCCTGACTGCCCAGATTTGGGAGCAGGTTCCTGCAGCTCCACCTGGAGCAGGTGACACCTGAGCAGCCACCATGGGTTCCACAGGAACATCCCTCTGCCCTGGCAGCCTCTGATGCAGGGAATTGCTGGAGCATGCACCTGATTTGAACACTTGTGCATTTTCCACTGGTTTTGACAGGACATTTCCATGTGCCCAGGAGCTGTGTGAGACTGAGCCCCTGCTTGGCATGGAACAGGATCCAAGAGCAAACTGAGCCTGCAGTGAGCCAGGAATCAGAATTCTGGGGATAAAACTTCATCACAAAGAACTTTACAGCAACGTGATGCTGCTTTCCAGTGATTTCCTAAGAAATGATTGGAAGGATTTCCTCCCTAGTCCAGAGTTTATGATCACCACAGAGTGTGTGATACTCACATTTTTCCAGTATCTGCTTTTCTGCAGCCGTACACTTCACCAAATCCCCCTCTTCCTATTATTCTATGTACACTAAAATCATTCATGGTCAGCTGCAAATGGAAACACAAGCAACAAAACAAAACCTTCATTTTTCCAGCATTAAAAAACTTACAGTGAAAACATCTAAATGATCCATGAATGCGTTAAGATCCTCAGCTGTAATTCAACAGCATTTACTGTGTTGGAAAAGGAGCCCCTCATTGTTGGTATTTTCAAGTACTTGGAAGCACTACAGTGTGAAGTAGCACCAAGGGGAATGAAGCTGTTGTTCCCAAAATCTGCCAGTCTCACTCAGGGCTATTTTTGCAGCCCAAGTTGTCACACAGAAGTGCAGAAGGACAAAAGCTGAGGCCAAGGGAAGGGGCTCAGAGGGTGCTGGGATTATGGACTGGAGCGGCAAAGGGAGGTGGACAGGGATTGGGGCTGATAAAAGAGCAGCAATTCTGGCACTTCAGCTGTTTCAGCCATTAAAAAAATCAAAATTCTATTAGCTGAGGAAGGCAGCGGGGACGTCCAGACAGGAATCATCAGGGCTGTGCCTAAGAATAGCAGAGCAGTGACATCCACCACCCTCCTTAATGAGGCCTTTGCAGAGCAGGATTCAAAACTGAACATTCTCTTTCCTGTATCAGCCTCTGACAAGATAAATATACTTGTAAGTACTTACATGAATATTTAGCTCTACATTTTTCCATTGACAAAATCTAGTAAACTTGTCACTGCAAAAGGAAAAAAAAAAAAGTTTAAAAGTTGTCTGAGACTATTGTGTAGAGTATTACAGGAAATGTCAAGACTCTGATATTTAAAATCTAGTCTGAGCTAGGGCGTGGGGTGGTATTTAATAAATGACAGCCTTCCTTTCACCAACTGTAATCTTACCCCCACCAAGAAAAACAATTCCTAGGCAGAGCACACTCCATGTTCTACATCCTTGGGAGAGAAAGACAGCAGATAACCTTATCCCTGGAAGTGCTCAGTGTGTCCCCACAGCTCTCTTGCATGGTTTTCAAGCATTCAAAGATGGTTTTCAATTTTTAAACAACCATGTTTGGAACTAACAAACATTTAAATTACATCAAGAGAAAGATAATTATAAAAAACACAGCTCGATTTATGTTTATGAACCTCCCTATACTCCAAGGAATATTTTCAACTCATTTTATCTTAAAATAGGGAAGACATCAGCAACACCACATGCTTTGGGGAAAAAATAATAAAATAGTTGCTTATTCCTACATGAATAATTAAGAATTTATTTTCAAAGTAAGAAACAACAGCTTTATGGAGGAATTTTATAATTATCACAGAATGGCACCAAACCAGTTTAGAAAATGGATTTGGTGTTGCTGGGTGGCAGCTGAGCTTTGCAGAGCCAGCCACAGGAGCAGGAAAGGGCTGCTCTGCTGAGCCAGACTCATACCTTCAATTCTTTATTACACCTTTATTATATTTGGAATATCCCCAAAATCCCAGTTCTGCCTTTTCTCAGCCCAACCTCCAACCTCTCTGTGCCCTGACTGAGAAACCCCTGAGCTTTCCAGCTGTTCCACTCACACATCCTGACACTGCTCAGGATATCCCACAAGCTGGCTATTTACAAAGCTTGCTGATAAATCCCATTTGATTAATCATATTTTCAGCCTTATTTCCAGCAGTACTGAAAAAGCCTGGCTTCCCACTACATTAGGCAGATAATTCAGGTAATATTCCATGTTCATACCTTTCCATAAATTTTTGAAATATTTTTCCTCGGAGACTATCACAAATTTCTTCTATATATGGCTAAAAAGGGTGAGGAAACACAATTAGTATTTAAGCAGATAATAAATAGCTTTTTTCAATCCCATTCAATACACAGAACTCCCTTTGGCCTCACACAGCTCCTGGATTGTCCTAAAGAAGCCTCAACAAAGCATTTTAGCTTTATTTGGCTTTTGGAATCTGAGCAGGTGACCTGAAGTCAAACACAAAATATTCTTATAAGCTAGAAAACTTTAAGGGGTGTGGGGGAAAAACGTTCTTCTTTCAAATGTCTTTAACCAATAAATTGTCACCCCTGTGGAATCCAAACTTCCCAGAGCTGCTCCCTCATCTCTGTGGTGCTCCTCTCCTCCCTGTCCTTGCTGAGACATCAGCACCTTGAAATCACAGGTGACTTTTTCCAGGGAAATCCCTCCCCTGGGTGTGTCATGGCCCAACCTCCCCCCACTTAGTGCTGAGCCATCCCCCAGAACTGCAATCACCAATTTCCAGCCCATGGCAACAGCCAGAACAGCTCAGGAGCACAACACACTTCAGGCAAGGGCAACCTCCACATTTTTTCAGCATATAAAAATACATCAGATTTAGATAAAAGACACTTAAGCTTACAAACACCCCCGTGATGGATAAGACTATTTCTCCATTGTTGCAGCTCAGTTCACCCTGACAGGATGAGCATCTTCTTGATGGAAAGTGATTTACTCTAAGTCATTTAATGGCTTAAAATTACACATCTATAAAAACTCTTCTGTTCACACACCAAGGTATAGTTTGCTTTTCTAAATGTGCTTGAAAATATTACAGATAAGAAGAATAAATTGTAATTTTGACTTGGAAAAGCACTTAAATCCCACTTACAGCACAGAATATGTACTTGTCCCATTTATTCTGTCTCTTTAAACAGTATCTAAAATAAAGTCACTTTCTGTCAAAGAAGCTGAATGTTCAGACTGTGAAAGCTCACCTGGAAAAGGCTGGCTGGCACTTGTTTCTTGGCTAAATGTGTTTGTACATGATCTACAGCTTGTTTTGAGAAAGGCTTTTGGAAAAGAAAAAGGAAGATTTCAAACAGTTGGAACTGTCAGGAGTTTCATTTCGGGTCAGAGCACTGTTGTTCTTTTCCCCACATGGAAACACCGACCCCAAGGGGAATCAATAGGGCCTCCCACAGGTACATTACAGTGACTATTGTGTGAAACCTGCAGAATGAGCCAGTGACAGGATTATTCTGAAGCAGAAAGGCAGGAGAGGGGAAGATGAGGAGGAGGAGGAAGGTAAAAATCAAAGGAAGTGATGATCCTCCTTTAACAAATCCACGAAAAATCCCATTTACAGGCACAGCTCCAGAGCCAGAAGCAGACAGGAACTTTTTACTAATAAAATAATGCATTTTGGGGGAAGGGGGGGAAAAAAAAAAAAAGAAAAGCTTAAGCCCTCCACCCAAAGCAAGATAGAACACCCTGCAAATCCTTCTTTCAAATAAGAGCAAATGAAAGTGTTAAGAACAGATCAGTGGGCCCAAACTTCAGCTAGAGGAAATGTGTATTTTCAGTGACTTTAGCCACATCTCTATACACACACCCTGCATTTATTTCATCCTTTTGTACACAGGTATTTAGTCTAAAAAAACAAAAAACAGAAAAATCTCCTGATACTTCTTTTGTGTGCCACTAAGTTTAATGCAAATTGCAGCACGCCACCAACATTTACACCCCAAAAAATCAATAAAAATAAAAAAACCAACATTCTGAATTTGGCCAAACCCTGATCTTGGATTTCAAAGGGAAATCTAGAGCATCCTGGGGATGGAAGAGCAGATTTTCCTGCTGCCAGGGAGGGAAAAAAGGCAGGATACCCACGTGGGAACAGGAGAGCAGCTCCTTCATGATGTAGGTGTCGTAGATCTGCCGGCTCCGCGACAGCCGCTCCTCCTCCGAGTCCAGCTTCTCGTACTCCTTGATCTGCAGCACAAGCACACACCCCACATTTCCTAGTCATTCCTCACTCATGGGGTCAAAAAAAAAGGATTTTGGCTGAAGTTTTATTTTATTGTTTTCTTTCTTGAGGAAAAATCACCTGCAACAGCACAGCGATAGCTGGGATTTCTTTTAATATTGGAATTTTCCAGCCCTGGCACAGCTGCCCAGGGCACCGGTGGAGTCTCCATCCCTGCAGGGGTTTAACAGCATGTGGCACTTGGGGACGTGCTCAGTGGTGGCCGTGGCAGTGCTGAGTGAACAGTGGGACTCGATGGGCTGAGAGGGCTCTTCCAACCCAAAAATTCCCTGATCACAGCACATCTGGTACAGATGTCCAAGAAAGCATATACAGCACATTTCAAAATGTTCACATAGTTTAGCTACACTGTGGATTTGAACCCTAAAAGTGGCTAAAAGACAGTTTTACAACATACATCATGTTTCCTCAGGTGTGCTGTAGGAGATCAGTGTGCTCCAGGTGAAACAACAGCAATTCCAGATAGTTCATTTACAGAACAAAACCTGACAAGCAGCTCCAGAACAAAAAGTTCACTGAGTCCAAGGGTCCTCTGGAGCATATTCAGGGAAAGAGTTCTTCCAGAAGTGACAAAATGTAAAAAAATATGCAAGGAGAAAGGCTCAGCTCTGATTTCCTGGACCTTCCCAGCACCAGCCAGTGAAGCCCTGGGATCCAGATCAGCAGTGAGCTGATCTGCTCTGTGCCACAGAATCCCAGGATTGCTTAGGTTGGGAAAAAACCTCCAAGATCATCAAGTCCAATTATCAAGAGACAAACTAGAACCAGCCTACCTCTGGAGGTGGAACATTAATTAAACTCAGTATCTTTCTAGCTGTACTCCTCTTGTTTGCTGACATGATAAGGCACCAGTCCCACCCCAATGTGCCATCTGTGCTGCTTCCCCCTTGATACCAATTTATAATTAAAATGACTCAAAACGTCTTTGCCCAAGAAACACTTTTAATTAATGCAATGACACAAAATAATTAGCAGTACAGGAGGAAGCCTGATGGATATCTGACTGTCTTATTTGAGCACAACCTCCTATCCCTCAATGTTTGGTTGTTGAAGGACACAACTCCCCAGTCAGTGTTGAGGGGTTTCAGCAGAGCCCCCTCAGAGATCAAAAGGATCTCCTGAAAGACTGGAATCAGAATGCATTTGTTTTCAAGTATTTAGAAGCTTTTTCACCCCCCATTTTCCCCCATTTTTCTTTTTAATTTCTTTTTTTTTTCTTCTGAAACCGATCGGGATGAATCACTCATCCTGCTAAATGCCTGATCGTGACTCCAGCTGCAGTGATATGAAATCCCTGGAGTACAGAGCTCTTCTACATCAAGCAATTTTTAATGTAGCAATGTACTCAGATTATTCTATGTGTAATAAATGCAGCAAGTAAATCAAATATATAAAAAAAGGAAAAGCTCCTGGATCCGGTATGTCACAGAGGAAAACACAATGAACCTCTCTTTAAATATCTTTAATGGGATTTTTCCAGAAGTACATGACAAAGCACTGAAATTCTTTTGAGGCAACATTTTGCTAATAACCTAAAAATACAATTTTGAATTGTTTCAGAGATAAAGAGGCAGCCAAGAATATCTTGCTAAATAATCTGGTACAAGAGGCCTTTTCGGATTACTTATGACAGTGATATCTGAAGTGTATAAAGAGATGGGAATGATAGAAAAAGATTCTTTATTGACAGCAGGTATCTGATCTGAGTGGGGGAATGGAGTCTTGCTGAGGACTGATCTCCAAATTGATACCAGCTGTTCGTGCTGATAGCAAGAAAACCAGTTAAATTTTCAGCTCATGAGTGAAGCAGCCATGGCTATCCCAGCTCTAATTAACCCTGAGCATCAGGCATGGGCATGTCTGCCCTGAAATCAGCACCTGGGACAGGATTCACTGGGGGTTTATTCTGTGTCACAAATGAATGAATGGAGCCATGGAGCTCAGACCCTGCAGCAGCTGGGGAAGGCCAGGGCATTCCTTGGAATTAGTGCTCCTTTGGGATGTGCCCTGCACAGTGCCTGGCAGCTCCTCCACTGGGTTTGTCCTGACAAGGGACACAACTCATCCATCTGAAGCCACCTCTCGTGTCCCCTCTGCCACAGGGGCTCCTGAACCATCTGAGCAGCTCCCACCCCACATCCCTCCACAATCCCCCCCTACTGCCTTTCCTACAGCTGAAGAACTGCTGGGAAAGACCTGAAGGGTTTCAGTGTCACCCCAACACCAAGTTCCAGATCCTTTTCTACCAGTCCACACTGCTTCACATCTCCCTGTGCTTCCCCCTCAGCATTCCCTGATGGAGCAGGAGCAGGACAGCCTCCCCCAGCCTCACAGCCCCAAACCTCCACCACCAGCACTTACCTCCTCATAGAACTTCAGCTGAGGGACAGCTTCATCGATCTCATTCATGCAATAGTCTTTAAAGAGCAAAAATCCTGGAAAGAAAAACAGAAACATCAGAAAAACTTGTCTCATTATGCTGATGACTTGTAAAAAGGCTCATGAAACCACCCGAGTTCCACCATGGGCTGTATAAACCTGTGTCAGCATCTCCATTTGCCAAGGTTTAGGATTCTGATTCCAGCTCTTCATTACCAGCACAAAAGGATCCCAAGCATGCCTCACCTCCCACAGGTGTATTAAGCCCATTACTGCTTCCACACGCTGAGAATTTTATGAGGCATTTCCATAATGCACCAAAATATCCTGTTCCTCTTCACAAACCACATTTTCTTCTTTTTTTTCCCCCAGTAAAAACTAGACACTACTCACGTTTTGGGGTGGGTTTTTTTTTTTGGGGTTTTTTTTTGCAAGAGATTTACCTACATTTCACTGATGAAGCACAACCTCTTATGCACTGTCATTTCAGAATTACGGGTTCATGTTACCTCTAATGGGTTTTATTGCTCGATAAATTACATCAGGGTCTTTACAGTTTCTTTGCAAGTAATTTAGAGCATGACCCTGGCAGGCTGCAGATGAGAATCTTCCATTAGGAGCATTTTAATGCACTGTCACAAACCTCATCCCATGGAAGCTCTGTCTTTCCCTGCTTCTGAGCTGGCACCTGCTACACCCTGGAATTTCACACAGCAATCTGTGTCACAAATGTCCCCATGGGTTCCAAACCCACCCAAAGTCCCCCAGCCAGACCGTGCACCTCCACCTCTCCTTGCCAGCCTGGCTTTTGGACAAAAAGTGAAATTTTGGGAGCTGATTCAAATTCCTTATTCCCCACATGACGGAACCAGCAGTGGCACGGAGCAGAATCCTGCTGAATGGACTGAACTTTTCTAGGACAATGAACCAAAGATTGGGTAATTAAGAGACTGAAGAGTGGCACAAACAGCTCTGAATGCAGTGAAAGAAAAATCCCTGGCCTGGTCCCAGTTCCTGGCTGGTGCCCAAAAAAACCCACAAACAACAAAAAAACACAACAATAAACCACAAAGACAACTGTGGGAGGAGTGTGAAAATATACCAACACACATTTCCAGCAAGGCCACGCCAAACATTCCAGCCCTGCTTAGTATTTTCCAAACTTTTTAAATTTAATTATGGCAGAGAAAGAAGAGGTTCCCAAGCCCATGGCACAGGGAACAATCAGAGGCTTATGCAGCCACAGGACATGGGCTGCTCCTCGCCGAGGCCCCTTGGCACTGCACTGCAAAAACTCAGATATCCCCAAAATGTACAGACTGAGAGCTGAGGCTGCTCAGCCTGGGGAAGAAAAGGTTGGGTAGGGACCTCACAGCACCTTCCAGGATCTGAAGGGGCTATAAAGAAGCTGAAGAGGGATTTTTCATCAGAAACTGGAGTGGCAGGACAAGGGGGAATGGCTTCAGACTGATGAGATACATGGAAGAAATCATTCCCTATGAGGGTGCTGAGGCCCTGGCACAGGTTGTCCAGAGAAGTTGTGGTTGTCCCATCCCTGGAAGTGTCCAAGGCCACATTGGACCAGGCTTGGAGCAACCTGGGATACTAGAAAGTGTTCCTGCCCATGGGACTGGATGATCTTTAAGGTCCCCTCCAACCCAAACCACTCTGTGATTCTATGATTCAGACAAATTCAATCACAGCCTACATTCCCCAGACTGGAATTGTTTCTGTTTCGACCTCCCATTCTATCAACAGACCCTGCACTTCCCCTGCAGCACAAAGGAAATCTCCTCCTTTACTGCTGCTCTTGGATTGAGTGAAAAATGATCAGCCAGAAACTGCAGCTCTCACATAATGGCACAACGAAGTGACAGATGCAGCATTGAGTAAGTGACAGGAGTTTGAAGAAGTTCAGGGGGAGCTGACGAGGAGCACAATAAGCACAGTTAACAGCACACAGAAAAATAAGCCCAGGAACAGAAAGCAGGAATTAATAAAATGATAGCGTTAAGTAACAGCTAAAAAGAACCAGCAATTATTTATGAAATAAAGATGCTGACAGCTTTAGCTTTAAAGATTCCTTCTGCTATAACTATATAATTTCTGCAACAACCAGATCACTGGTTGTTAAGGGAAAGGAAAAATATTTTTTAAGAGCTTCTTCTGGCAACACCAAAGTGATGGATGATATCAACAATACACACAGAGTGTGAGACAGCACCCAGCTCCTCTGGGCTCCCAGCCCCTGGACAACCATTTCCCCCACAAAGACAAATTTGCCAAGTGCCATGATTGCACTGACTAATTACCAAGGCAAAATGTCTTTCAAGGAGGAATGAAGGCCACCTTTGAGGTTTGCAGTGTTCACCAGAGGTTCACAAGCAGGAAGGGATGGGCTGGTGGGGAGAGCAGATTCAGGTCAGGCACCTCACCCCTAACCAGGGACTCACAGAGCTCATCCAAAACTGGCCAAGTCACAAGCTTGGAGGGTACAAGGAGGGGAACTAAGTTAACCCATCTCTTTAAAACTGAAAACAAATGTTTACTTCAGTATTTATTTCAAATAATTATGTTTTTCCAGCATGAGCACAGGAATTTCGTATGAAATCCTGACTCTAATCAATGGCATCCCTCCACCCCTGGTTTTTGTCTCCAGAATTCAGCCCTTCCCACAGTCAAAGAACAAAAATGCTGCTAGTGACCAGCCACACACTCCAGACCTCTCATCGTGTTTGTGGCTTCCACTGGACCCTGTCCAGGAGCTCCTTGTCTTTCTTGAACAGTGGAGACCAGAACTGAACACCACAGCCCAGATGTGGCCTCACTAGGGCCACTCAGCAGGATTAAAGCTATCTTCTCATTTTCCACTTCCGTGGCATTTTCCTGCCTGTGGCTCTGCCAACATCCCCCCAGGGCAGCAGCCACAGGGGCCAGCACTGGCCTCTGCCTCCTCCAGCAGTCTAAAGGTCACCTGCAGCCACACCACCACCTCTTCATCCCTGTCAATTAGCTGAGAGCACAGAATAATAAATAAAATAGAACAACAACGAGGAACTCCATCATAAAACACTCGGAGAAAATGACTTATCTGATTCTAACTGGAATTTTATGAGCATCTGATTCAAGTAACCTTTTAACAGGAGTAAATAAAAATCTTACTAAAGCAAACAGGAGTGACTAGGTGAGAGAGCAGAGCTAAAAATAGCCATGTTTAGCCCCGATACAAGCGTTCACAATGTCACTGATTGAAAGGAAGCTGCATCTATTTACAGCAGGCCTGAACGTGGTCCAAAAACGCTGATGTAGCCTCTTTCTAGTAGGCAAAATAGCAAATTAGAGAACAAAAATATCAAGCTGTTTCCAAATCCTCCCGAAACGTGCTGTGTATAAATACAGAATCCTGACAAACAAAGCAGCAGTGACATCTGCACCAGACACGGGCTCCCTTCCCAGCGCTCCGGCCAGCGGCTCCCGGGCAAAAGGAAAAGCTTTGGGAATGTGGGATGCTGCTCAAGTCTGCAGCACAGGCTCTGTCCCTGCTCAGGGCACTTAAAGCTCTCCAATCTCAGTCATTCCAACATGTCTCTCATGATCTTTCTTACTTGGTGAACTTGGATAACAACAAGAAGCCGTGGTTGGAGGGACAGCTCACATCCTGCTGTCTGCACCTCCCTGGCAGGACACTGAACCAAGGTGGTCCAAGGAAAGGTCAGGCTGGACATCAGAAGTAATTTCTTCCCAGAAAGGGTGGGCAGGCATTGGAAGGGGCTGCCCAGGTGTCAGAATCTGTGTATTGATGATCCCTAGATTGTAGAAAGTCTCTGCCAAAGAAGGAGCCATAATTGGTCTGTGCTGGTTTCCAGGTTGT